GGAACCAGAAGTAGATTTATAAAGCTCCTGAAGTAATTAGAAAAAGGAAGGATGTTGGCCTGAAATGGAATAATGTGTAATTAAAAATGAGAGAAGTGGGCAGATTCTGTAAATATTTAGCAGAGAAAATCGATACAATTTGACATGAGATGGAAAATCAGTTATTCAGAAAACAGGAGAGATTCACTATTAACATGTGATGAACTTGGTGTTTAGATATCATTTACTAGTAAAGGGAACAGAGCAGGTATATATAAAGATCAATTTTATGAAGATGAGTTTAATAACTTTGTGGTATATTGAGAGGAGGTAGATATATGAGTCTCAATTTAAGTATCCACATCTGGGCTGAATGCATAAATTTGGGAGTAATGTATAATGAAGCCATGAGAATGTAGAGATGATGAGAAGAGTACCTAAGACCAAACTCTGGTTGTATTGTTTACCACATTTCTCCCCATGCCATTCATTCAGTCGACTCTATACCACCTTGTTGAGTGCACAGATGCTAGTAAATGAAACTGAAGCCCAGAACTCAGGTAGATTAAATCTTCCATACACTAACCTGTATGCTGTTTGCAATTCTTCAAACTCTCTGTTCTAACATCTGTATACTATATTGTATAATGCCGGGGGTCTTAATCCAGCATCTAGAAGGGTTCAGGAATCTGGAGAAGGGCTGTGGCGTAAATTAATCAAGAGTCCAGAGACGAAACATAATTTTGGAAGGCATTTGGGGGACCAGAGAAGACTTAGCTGAAGGAACTGAGTTCTCTTTGTCTCAGGACCTCTTGCTTTTTATTAACACAAATTGTCCTAAGGCAAAGTAGATATACATATCAAAGGGTAGGGCTACTATACAGAATCCATTGTCAGATTGGAGGAATTGCTTTCAGCTGTTCAGGTGTTTGGCCAGTAGGAGGCAATAACATGTAGATTGAAATGCCCTCAGCTGTCTGGCAGCAAGCATTCACTGATGCATCTTTTTCAGGGTTGGGGAAATTCCCTCAGCCATTTCCAGATGATTCAGCCCTGCTGACATGCTGGAATTGGCTTCTGACAATTGTATCTCCGTGTTTTCATTACCTTTTCTATCTCATCTGCAGAAATCTACCAAGTCTTCTTTGAGTCCCTGAAACACTTTGCATTATTTTAAGTAATTCTTCACCAAGTATCATGTAATGTAGTTTGATGATTTAAGAGTGGGGGGGCGGTGCTTTGAACCCCTGAGTTTGATTCCCTTCTCTCCACTAACTATACACACTGTGCACTAAACATACAATTTGGGTCAATTACTTAACCAATTTCTCTGTGTCTGCTTTCTTTTTTATATAATAAAATTATTAATATTCAGGTTAGATGTAGTTTTGGTAGAGTTTAAATTAGAAGATTCATGCATAGCACTTGGCACCAGTGGGGGCTTGATAAATATGAATTATTATTACCGAAGCTGAGTTGTAAAAATAGAATGTGAACCCCAATTTGTGTGATTTGGGGCAAATGATCTTGAAATAGAGAAAAATAATGGCTATCTCATTAGATTATTGTGAGGATATGGCATATTAATGTTTGTATTTAGTACAGAAGCATGTAAATAATAATAGTAATAATAATAATAATAATAATAATAATAGTGATAATGATGTTTTACATTGCTTTATATGTATTTATTTTTCATTAAATTTAAGTGGACAAGAGATGTTAGCTGCAATTAAGCTAATTGATATAAGGTAACATTTAATTTATGTTTTGTAATTTCCATGTTTCTTTTCCATAATCACTACTAAATAAACATTTATTGAAATAATTCAAGATGACATGGAAAATGAGGCTAGTGTTTCTGGGCTCAAGTTCTTGTTCAATGTCCTGGCACATTTTCTTTAGGAACTGTCATTTTGTGTTAAGGCTATCCTTATATCTAGATGGACTGAATAATTATCTTAGAATTAATTGAGAATTGATGAGATAACCTGCCTTCCCATATATGTCTAAGTCATACCTATGGTATTAAAAAAATCATTTATTACATTGACTTCTATATTCCTCTATAAAAATTCAAACTATCCCAGGCAATAATAAATTAACCTGTTATCAAATTAATCTACCATCTTGAAAGATTAGTCAGAAGATTATTTCCAACTCTACGTTTTGATTGAGACAAGATTTTAAAGTATTAGGAGCCTAGATGCATTTATTCACTTATTCATTAACTCATGTTTTCAGCTAGCCCCGTGGTCGGCAAACTGCGGCTCGAGAGCCACATGTGGCTCTTTGACTACTTGAGTGTGGCTCTTCCTAAGCCTTAGGAATACCCTAATTAAGTTAATAACAATGTACCTACCTATATAGTTTAAGTTTAAAAAATTTGGCTCTCAAAAGAAATTTCAATCGTACTGTTGATATTTGGCTCTGTTGACTAATGAGTTTGCCGACCACTGAGCTAGCCTAGAAGTACTTTTAAGAATTTAAGCACAAAGATGTTACTAAGAGATGTGGATACAGATTGTGGATTCAAATTCATAGTGCTTTCACCAGGAAAACTAAATACAGAGAGAAAATAGATTCTGTGGTCTGGTGGGACAAGAGCATGGACTTTTCTTGGAGCATACATCATCACTATGAGATGGAGAAAGGTAGAGAAATATAAGACCGGTGGGTGACATTAAGCTCAATGTCAGAGAAAGGAGATAGGAAGCTATCCAAAAATCTAAGGGACAATAATCATTAAACAAAGCCTAGTACGTTTTTCATGCACTGACAGAATGCCACAGGTACAATGAAAGAGGGATGTATTTTATTGGGGAAACATTGAAATAGTCAGAAGGTATTTCACCTTTCAGGGGGGGTCTCTAAATATAGTGCAAAACTCTTTAGGTTTTGCCCACAGTTGAAGGAGTCTTTGTATTTCTGACAGATAAACGCAACAAAAACCCACTTAAGGCTTTGGAATCCATCGGGAAAGACCTCTTAGTTGAAGTTTTGGATGGGTTGGTGAAAAAAGATGTTCTGAAATTGGAGGAGACTGACAAGAAAAAATTCAATGACGCCAAACCTGGAGACAAGGCCCGGGTTTTAGTGGACGCTGTGCGAGAGAGACGCCATGAAGCAGGTCAAGTCCTTGTCCAAACCTTCCTTAACACAAACAAAAATTCCATCAGCACAAAAGGTAAGAATAGAGGCATTTACAACAAATATCTCAAATTATCTGGAATCTGTTTATCTCCAATGCCCCTCCGGTGTCCTCTGTAATAATTACTAAAATATTATTTTCACTAGCCTCATCAGTGCCCTTTTAGGGGCTACCTTGTACTTTGTGAGAGGGCGTTTGGTTTCTGACTAGCTAAGAGGCTGAGGGTTTGTGTTCAGGTTGCTCATGGAAAGAGCTCACTGTAGAGACTTTGTGGTTAGGGCTACCTGATCCCGAACCCTGGTTCTGCCACTTTGGACACTAAATACATGACTTCCTTCAAGTTTCTGTATCTCCTTAGGCATCAGTATCAGCATCTGTGAAATGGGAGCAATTTTAGGAACTTTTCGGGGTTCATAAGCCTAAGAACAGAGTGCTAGGCATATGCGGACAACTCCTAACATTTTATTTCTCACCCAGAACTCTTTCCTGAGCTCCAGATACATTAAGCTCTAGCAGCATAGTCTCCATTTCCACTCAAATATTCCTCTGGCTTCACACAACTAAAATATCTGAAATTATACACTTGATGCTCCTCATCAAATCTATTCCCTATGTATCTCATTAGAACTATAATCCACCAATTTTCTTAATCCAGAATGCAGCTGTTGTCTTTGCCAATGAATGAATAAGAGCTCTTAACAGAGTGCCAGGCACATAATAAATATAAGGTGAATAAGCAAACAAAGAACCTGCATGCAATAAATATTAGTAATCATGATTATCATAGTAATAATTAGAACTTTCCAGTAACACCTAAAAAGTTTCAAATATATTAAAATCTTTCAAACATGTTGACCTAGATTGAATTACAAATGCTACTAGAGACTACATGTCCTCAGGCCCAAGTTCAACAGTGACTGACTCTGCTGGCTGCAGTTTAACCTAAAATCCCAACCCTGTATACTAGAGTTCATCAATAATAACAAAAAAGTAATGCACAAAAGGCTACATACATTATAGAGCCCTCCAAATTACACATAAGCTTTTGTTTCCTTTTTCTTTCCTCTTTTTAAATGTCTTTTTATTACTGAAAACATTACATGTCCTGTTTTTTCCCCTCCATCCCCCAGGCCTTCACCACACTAGTGTCTGTGTCCATGGGTTATGCATATCTGTGTATCAGCTTTTGAAAGAAGCCCTTCTCTAGGTGGAAGGGACATTCCCCCCGGCAGGAAGGACACTCTTTTCTGGTAGATGTCCAAGATTGTGGCCTGAGCAGTGTTCTCGCTAACATTCACGCTGCTCCTTGTACAGGTTTATTACTTTCTCTTTAATCTGGGATGGGGTAGGAATAATTGGATTTTTTTTCCCAAAAATAAAACATTTGCAACTAGAAATCACATTTAAATAATAGAAATTATAAAGTAATTTTAGCAACCCCAGGAATCACCATAAGCATTAAACCAAACTGATATAAACTACTGCATTGGCAGAGATAGTGATTGGCAGGCAGGAGGCAGGGGTAGATCCTATCATGATGTGTTCTGTGGTTCCCTGGGCTCTATCTGCACATGGAGCACCCAGGGTGATCCTAGAACAACTAAGGTCCACAAGCCTAGCAGGCCAGGAAGCTGGGTGAGATGAGCTGTAACAAGTAAGGTCCTGGCCAGGCCTTTTGGACATGCCATAGATATAATTCTGAGGTTCCCTAGTATAATATTGAGGGAATGATGTGGGGAATAGAAAGAATACAAGGTATTTGATTGCTTATTTTATTTAACAAACTCATATGTAGACACATGATTGCTATTTAGTCAGAGAGATAAGTACTCAAATTGCTACCCTCCAAGGATATGGTTTTGTCTCATGTAATATCAGTCCTTTCCTTTTTATATCATTTGAAGGGGTTTCCTGAATATGTCCTTAGGTAACAGGTAAACTGAGCTTCTTAAAGTTTTGTCTAAACTCCTAATTCTCTCATTTCTTTCAGCTCCATTCCCCGGCTGCTAGAATCTCCATTTGGGCAGCAGGTTGCACTATAATATCTATTATACTAGAGGCCCAGTGCACGAAATTCATACACAGGGTGGGGGGGTCCCTCAGCCTGGCCTGAAGCCTCTCCAATCCAGGATCCCTTTCACAATCCGGAACCACTGGCTCCTAATCGCTCACCTGCCTGCCTGCCTAATGGCCCTAACTGCTCTCTCCTGCTGACCTGATTCCCTTAACTGCCTAACTGCTCTCCCCTGCCAGCTTTATCCCCCTAACTGCCTAACTGCTCTCCCCTGCCAGCTTTATCCCCCTAACTGCCTATCTGCTCTCCCCTCCTGGCCTGATCCCCATAACTGCCTAACTGCTCCCCTCTGCTGGCCTGATCCCCTTAATTGCCTATCTGCTCTCCCCACCTGGCCTGATTCCCCTAATAGCCTATCTGTGCTCCCCTCCTGGCCTGACCCCCCTAACTGCCTATCTGCTCTCCTTTCCTCTGAACCCTTTGGAACCCCAGTGTAGGGCATGCTGAGAGCTCTCCGCCGTGGCCCTGCACCCATTCTGATTGGTCGTTACATGATGACATGCTGGCCAATTTGCATATTCCTCTATTATTAGTATAGATTGTAATGAGAGGATTTGTTTTCATGCTAATTTGTACTATAGATGCAACATAGAAATATTAATTCCCAATCTTAACTGCAAACAGTATATTTATACATAGACACACAACGGTCATTAGGAGATGATGTTTCTTAAGTTAGAGTGCTCACCAAACTTGCAAATAACCTGGAAACAGAGGAGGTTTTTGCTGAGAAATATCCCCTCTAATGAGGGAATATCCCAAGACCCGGGGAGTCTTTAAATTGCCAGAATCTTCTGGAATGAGAAGGGAGAGCATGTCTCTGTTTAATCTATAATAATATTTAGAAAGCTTGGTTTCCTTAGAGAATAACAATTTGCTGCATCTCCAGAGCTCGGTGTTTAGCACATATTTTAAAAAGATGTTTATAAAAAGATTATGAAAAAACTAATGGAAATAAATGAGTAAAATATAAAAAATATAAAAAATAAAACTAAACATTTATACAGGATAATATTTCTTTTTTAAATAATAAAAGAAAATCAGGGAGTGCCTTGATTGGTTCATGTAACTAACCATCAAGGTTTGTTCCTGGACAAAAACCTTGTTAATTAGATCTTGGCAAACCTCTCTTCTATTGTTTATGAATTCTTACTCCTTCCTCTGAATGGAGGGGTGCTGGACTTTCCCAGTCTCTTGCAAAATTTGTCAAGTGATGCCAAGCTGTGACGGATACAGTTAGGTTTCTGTCAGGACTGGGCCAGGATGAGTCAGAAACAAACTTCTTCAAAAGGGAGGAGTTATTCCCTCACATTTTAAAACATGGGTTGAAAATGTAGTGCCGGTTAATCAGAACTTTGGAGGCAAGGACGTCAAGTGTATGTTAGAATCTCCAAGCAAAATGTTGTCCCCCTGGCTCTGGAATCAGTACTCTGGTGGCTAGTAGCATTTCTCCTGGACATAGCTGACTCCACAGCTTTTCAAGGAATCCTAGAAGCCCATCTCCTCTGGAAAAGTTGAGAATTCAGGCTGAGGTCCCTGAAAAAAATAATGCTTGTATGGTACAGGATTGAGGATTCTTTTAGGTGCTTAGTGTGTGTCTGTGTCTGTGTTCTATATAAACTAGGAGCAGACTTGGGATGTTATACCATCCTATATAATAAAAGACTAATATGCAAATTGTCTGTTTGACTCAGAGTTCCACAAGGAGGCGGGGCCAGCCCACCAACCACACACGGCCCATCTTCCCCTGGCTGGCCAGCCTAATTGGCTTTGATAATGGCAGGCAGGCCGGACGCCGCCCATGCACAAATTTGTGCACCGGGCCTCTAGTCCAATATGATAGCTACCAGCCACATTGTGACTATAAAGTGCTTGAAATGTGGCTAGTAACACATGTTAAAATGATAATAGTTTGAATATATTATGTCAAATAAAATATTATTAAAATTAATTTCATCTGTTTGTTTTTCCTTTTTAATGTGAACATTAGCCAAAATTTAATTGCACATGTGACTTAATTATGTTTCTAATGAGTAGCACTCTATTAAATATTTATTCAATATACTCTTGCTCAGTGACAAGAAACAATCCACCTAGATCAGTGAGTGCTTTAGAGTAAAGAATAGCAAGACTCAAGCTGTTTTAGCTAAATATAAAAAGCCTAATTTTGACCCAAGTCACCAAGGAAGGTGTTTTCCTTTTAATAATCATAATCTAGTATCACATTATTGGGTGGATCTGCTACCAAGAATTTCCCCCTTCTTTCCAATCACAATACACTTCTTCATTTTAGTGGTTAGATACAAGGAAAATTCCTACATCTAAAAGTGTTTAAAGAACTTTTCATGACTTACCGTCTCTGTCAGTATGTCTTAGGTGATCATGGGTAACAGATGCAGATATTAAAATTACATCATGGGATGTCATGTGATAGATGCTGCAGTTCCTCCAGAAGTGACTGGGCCAGCTGAGTCAGCAGAAACTACGGATACCCTCAAGCTTTGTCCTCCTGAAGAGTTCCTGAAAGTGTGTAAAGAAAGGGCTGGAGAGGAACTGTGTTCTATCCATAAAATAGAGGAAGAGAGAGAAGCAATTGCTTTCACTAAGTACTTGATTCCCTAACGCACTAATTGCAGAGTGGTGGGGTGGGGACAGTGGTAATTATTTTCATAGATGCTTTGATCAAGGAGGAACTCATTTGCCTCACACAGATTCCAATTTTCTTTCAAGATCATGATAAAATACAGATCTCTCTCTTCATTTGTTCTATTTGAGACTTATTACAATTAAGCTGTAGATGTAGATCAAAATATTTAGTAATTATTTTCATACTAGTTACAAAGGCCAGATACAAAACATGACTTAAAATACAATTAAAGCCTGAAACCCATTTTATCTCGATGTGTTAAAAATAATACTGAAATAATGATGTTACCAAAGGCAAAGCATCGTTGATGTATTTATTTTTAGCCGGAGCCAATAGAAAATGTCTCTTGGTTGTTAGGAAATTTGATCTGAACCTTGAACACTGAGAATGATTTGTCTAGGTGGAGAAGAGAGAGGAGAAAATTATGGTAAGAATTGTTCTATACTCTTCAAGATTCTTGAGTAAGTGTCCCAAATATGTTCTAGGTCCACTTCTGGGCTCTTAGAAAATAAGTTACATTATTTTATTTTTCAGTCTATTTTTATTTTTATATAATCTGAAAGTTCTAAATCACTTTCAGTTCTCACTCATTTCTTTTGTCAGTTCAATCCATTATAAAGAAAAAGGCAGGGTCTCTAGTATAGAAGAGGGGAGAGAGCAGATCCATGATCCTGTAACACAGCAACAGAGATTAGTATATGAAGGTTTAAAAGAGATTTAGGTAAGTCAAACTCACTGCATATCCATTTCCTGCAGATCTATCCAATAAAGGAGAGAACAGACCGCACTCGCCTGGCTCTCATCATATGCAATAGAAAGTTTGATCACCTTCAGCCCAGGAAAGGGGCTGAACTTGACATCACAGGGATGACAGAGTTGCTTAACGGCCTCGGCTACAGTGTGAGTGTGGAAAAGGATCTCACAGCCAAGGTAAGGGCGCCTCACCCACTCCACACACCCTGGTCACCATATAAATACTGAGTCCTGACTTGGTCCCAGGGCCTGTTTTCGGCACTGGGGGTAGGTCTGTGAATGAGCAGGACGTTCGAATTTGAATTGATTTAGGTTTACTGGTGGAGGGGCAATCATATGAAAAGAAAAACAGAAAATTTCAGAGATTTGATGTGTCTCGTGACTCTCTGTAAGAGTGAAAATAAAGTTAAAAGTATTTTAAAAAAGAAAAAGAGAACATAAGAGCGAATTGGGGAGTGGGGAGTAATTGCTTTGATGGAACGGTCAGGAGAAGCCTTGACAGGAGACAGTGTAGGTCCTGACAGATGACGACCACTAACAAGACAGGTCTGGGAATATGTGAATGGAATCCATTCCAAGAGGGATGACTACAATGAAAAGTCTGAACT